TATATATATAATATATATGAACATAATCAACATATACACTGTGAGACTTGTGAATGCCATGTTAATCTTTACTTCGTACGATATCGGTCTAATCACTTCTCCACAGTCTTCTTCTTCGAGTCACAATTAACGATTTAGTCTTCGTGCATAACCACTCTGATGGTGCCAGCAGGCACCAGCTAGGTCAACGCGACTCTAGTGACCGCGGAGATTCGTGATGGTGAAGCCATTTTGAATCGCTTCACTTTCCTGATGCTAACCCAATCTCAGTGCGATTTAGTGAAGGAGTCTCATTTCTCGTACAAGATGGCATGCAAAAACTCAATAATCTACCTAAAACCAAGTTTTGGCAACAATCATCTGAAAGGTTTAAAGCAAGATGTACGGTAATTTTCGTATATGCAGATGACAACCACGAACGGCAAAAACGTGCAAACGTCTTTCCAAACCACATGCAGCACACCTTGCATCAGCTACCAAACCGCTACCATCAACCTAAGTAAAAAACACAAATACGGAAACCACAAAAACTCTCCGAAAATCAAAGGGCAACACAAAAATCTATCGTGACTCGGAATCACAAGAGATTTTCGCGAAAACGACCACAAATATATAAAACATGAACGAAGTGAAATCTTCAGTGAGCCGAAGTGAACGTTTCGTGAACGCTGGCTGAAAGGCAAAACGGTGCAGTAAATGAACACACGGGAACTTTCCCCGAGAAACAAGCGAAACTTCGGACGACTGGTTCTTGGGAATGTCGTTGAATTAATCAAGCAACCTAAAAAAAACCTACGGGACGTTTTGATTCGTGATGAGAACGAATCAAACCCAAACCTACGGAGAGAGGTGACGATCGTGATTTATGAGAAGTTAGAGCGAGGCACATTCTCTCTGCATATGCTGTTATATGTGAGGGTGTAGGTACTAGGTAGTGGGTGGCTATGCTACCACTCTAAGGCACCTAGTGGCTCGTGCGTGAGATTAGGCCGTCCGTCTACCACAGGGAGTCCCCGAGTTACGAACGTATGAACACATGAACATGTTGGAGTTATGAACATCCAGGTTTATGAACGTCCAAAGTTACGAATTTCGTACGTGCTTGTCAAGTTACAACAATCCAGGTGGCACGAACACCCAGCGTTACAAACGTCGCTAGATATGAACGTCCAATATTATGACCATCCGGAGTTATGAACATTAGGTGTTACGAACATCCAACACTGTAAACTTCTAGAGTTATGAACATCCAATATTATGAACATGTGGAGTTACGAACATCCAATGTTATGAACATTTGAAGTTATGAACATCCAATATTATGAACATGTGGAGTTACGAACATCCAATGT